TTCGGCTGTAACAAGCCGGGTCATATCGCAAAAGATTGCCCTACCCGTAACACCAACCCGAGCAACCGGATGGGAAAACGTAACGAGGAAAAGGATCGCACGTTGGCAGCTATGGTCAGTGCGATAGAATTTGAGGTTGAGCCCCGAACGGCGCCATCAAAGGAGTGCAGTGGCGGACACACGGTGTCGCTAAAAAGTGGCGATGTGAATATTACTGCAATCGTGGACTCCGGGGCCGACATTAGTGTGATTCGACAGTCTATCCTCCGTGACTATGAGGCCGCGGGCTCCAGGATTGAGCTCACGAGTGCGTTCGGCGATCGGGTGAACGCGGAGCTTGCGTATGTGCCGCTTAGTGCCGTCACGGGGGGCCCGTATGTCTCGTTGCAACCGGGAAGTCAAGGGGTGTTATGCGCCCTTACGGAGAGGTTGGTTGAGGGGGTTGACGCTTTGATCACACCTTCTGATTACGAGCAGCTTCTCAGCGAGCGAGTGTGCACTGACTCCGCGCCTCGGCCCATGGGGTCAATGGCAAGTAAAACAGTTGAGAAGGGTGGGGAGATCGGTGAGCGGTCGTTGGAAGCAGAAATGCTGACTGTAATGACGGAGGAACGAGAAACTGGCAGTGGGGCGAATCCGATTGCCAGGCATGAGTTTAGGCGATGTCAGGAAAGCGACACGACACTGGATGAGGCCTGGAAACAAGCTCGCGTGGGAACGCATGGAATGGTTGTAATGGACGAGCTTCTATACCATTGTGAACCAGTGGCCGGTCGATCATGCAACCAGTTGGTGATCCCTAAGGGTCGACGTGAGGAGGTGCTCCGAATGGCACACGATTCTGCATGGGCTGGGCATCTCGGTGAGCGTAAAACACTTCAGCGCATCAAGCAGTCGTTCTATTGGCCAGGCGTGGCCGCCGATGTCAAGGCGTACTGCCAAAGCTGTCACACGTGTCAATTGAGGTCTCCCGCGCGACAGTCAGACCGAGTGCCTATCGCGCCGCTCACGAGACCGGACGCGCCTTTCCAAATGGTAAATATGGATGTTATTGGCCCGCTCGATCCGCCTTCAGGTAGGGGTCACCGCTATGCGCTCTGCGTCGTGGACTACTGCACGAGATGGCCCGAAGTCGTCTGCCTTCGATCACTGACCGCGAAGGCGACAGGTGACGCTCTCGTAGAAATCTTCTCGAGAATGGGAGTTCCTGAGACGGTTTGCTCGGATCAGGGAACTAACTTTACGGCAAAACTCACTCAGGAGCTTATGGCAAGGCTAGGAGCGACGCCGCGGTTCTCTACACCGGACCACCCGCAGAGCAACGGACTCGTGGAGAGGTGGAACGGAACATTCAAGGCGATGTTAAGCCACGTAGTCCAGGAGCATGGGCGCGACTGGGATAGGTACATACCGTACCTCTTATGGGCGTATCGCGAGGTTCCCAACGCTACAACCGGTGAGACACCGTTCGAGATGATGTACGGTAGGGTGCCGATCGGGCCACTGGCTATACTTCAGAAAACATGGACGGGTGAGTGGACGGTGCCAGACTCGCTGAATGTCTCAGCAGGAACGTATCTGTCTCAGTTGCGAAAGCGCCTCGAGAGTGCATCCGAACGTGCAAAGGAGACAGGTGCGCTGACCCAGGAGGCCTATGCTAACCGGTACAACCTACGGGCTAGGGATAAGCAGTTCAGTGATGGGGACCAGGTCTTGTGGTCGGAAAGAGAAAAAGAGGGTAAGTTGAGGCCAAAGTGGACCGGACCGGTCACGATAGTTCGGCGGTTGCGTCCGTATTCCTATGAAGTGGAGCTCGAGGATCAAAGTCGCAGAACTGTCCACGCAAACAACCTAAGGGCATATCACTCTCGCGTGTCAGTAGTGGGCGTGATCTTCGAGGAGGATCGAGCGTTCGGTGACGTTCCTACCCTTCCGAGTGCTAAAGCAAATGAGGAAAGCGGTGAGCTTCCGACGGTCGCTCATTTGACGAAACCCCAGCAGTATCAGCTGAAGGCATTGGTAGAGAAAAACCGCGTTGTATTTTCTGAAAGGCCGGGAATGTGCAACGTTGGAAAGCATAAAATCACACTGCAAGAGGGGTCCGAACCTCAGCGTGCGTACCCGTACCGGGTTCCCATGGCGTTCAGACGAGAAGTGGAACGCCAGGTGCACGAGCTTGAAGAATGGGGCTTAGTGTACCCAGTGGAAAGTAGTCACGCGCATCCAGTGGTATGTGTTGCCAAGAAGGATGGAAGTATGCGACTGTGCATAGACTATCGAAAGTTGAACGCTATCACCAAACCAGATGCCTTCCCCATGAGCAGGGTCAGTGATCTACTGCTTGAGGTTGCAGGAGCAAACTTCATATCGATCCTCGACATGCTTAGAGGATATTGGCAGATTCCGATGGACGAGCAGGCGCAGTACTATACAGCGTTTGTGACACCGCAAGGTCAGTACGCGTGGAAGGTAATGCCGTATGGGCTCCGAAACTCAGCCTCTACGTTTCAGAGGATCATCAATCAGATCTTGGCACCACATGCTGAGTATGCGTGCGCCTACATCGATGATGTGGCGATCTTTTCGAGGACGTGGGAAGAACACGTAATTCATCTGGAGCGCGTCTTGGCAGCAGTGGCGTCCGCTGGATTGACCGTTAACGTGCAGAAATGTAAATTCGCTCGCAGTGAAGTACATTTCTTGGGGCATGTTGTAGGGTCGGGGAAACATGGCCCGGACCCAAAGCGGGTAGAGGCAATTCAGGACATCGCTAGGCCGCAGACGAAGAGAGAGCTGCGGAGCTTTCTGGGGCTGGCAAACTACTACCGCGACTACGTCTCCGACTACTCTCGTCTTGTTCTGCCGCTGACTGATCTCACCAATAAGCGCGTACCGCAAAAGCTGCCGTGGACAAAAGAAGCCCAAGAGGCATTCGAAGAAGTGAAAGCACGGTTAGCTCAGGCGCCTGCACTCTTTGCGCCTGACCCCCAAAAGGAGTACATCTTGGCTACGGACGCTTCACAGTTCGCGATCGGGGCGTGCTTGGCTCAGGAAGATGACAACGGAAAAGAGCGTCCGATTGCTTTCCTTAGCAAGAAACTAACCCCTGCTGAAACTCGTTGGGCTACCATTGAGCGCGAGGCGTTCGCGATCATCTGGGCCCTACAGCGGCTCGAGACGTGGCTATTCGCGGCATCGATCAAGGTCGTCACTGACCACAATCCTCTTAGGTTTTTGACACTCAGCACCCCACATAGCGCCCGTCTCACCCGTTGGGCTCTCGCGCTGCAAAACTTTAATGTCACGGTTGTACATAAGAAGGGCAAACTAAATGCCAATGCGGACGCGCTCTCCAGACTGGTGACGGCCGAGGCATGACCACCTAGAGGGTAAAAACGTGTAACCCTGCAACTTGCGAGACAAAAGAATATTCTGTGCTGTCATGGAGTGTGCGGGTTGCAGCGGCCGGAGGGCCCTACCAGTGGCTAATGTGTGATGGTGTGTGCATGTGCGAACCCTTTGACAATCCTGCAAGAGAGGATACTCCGGCCGCCTGTATTTGTTATGCCCCTCGGAGGCAGGAGAGTTCGCTGTGCTATGTTTCACGGTCGTGCCGTGTTTATTATTGTCCCAGTGTATAGAGTGGTCCTTCAACTCCATTTCATCGGCTTTGCTATTTGTAGTGACTATTGCGTATACATACATGTTGCTTAACTCCGTTAATTTGGATGCGATATAGTTGAAAAGTTGACGTGCTTGCTAAAGAGTAATTTTCTCTCAGATGGGGAAGGCGACACGTGTTTTTTTTTTTTTTTAAGAGGTGCTGTTGCCCTTGGGAGGCAGACCTTAACGGGGTTGCTCTATGTGTACGTCGTACGTTGTTGTGTTGTTCTTGTTTTCCTTTTTTTTTTCTGCGACCTCTAATTTTTTTGTACTGCTAACCAGTCCTAGAAGTTCTGGCGCAGTCTTGGAGGGGACGTGTGAGGTTGGCGCAATGCGCGGTGGCGGTCGAAAGGGCGCTCCATTTGAAGAGCTTCGTGTGTCCTGAAGCCGCCGCTCGAAGGCGGCTCTCCGTTTGTATACACGACGGCTTTGGCTCACAAGGGTGGATGGTGAGGTGTTTTCTTCGGCGGTGTCGGGTCCCGATCATTGCGCGCCCGCGGCAGTGCACCTGGAAAGACCCTGTACGTGATCCGAACGGACAGCATCTGGGATCGACTCGTCGGGGTCCCTTTCTTCTTTCTCTTACCCGACGATGTTCGCCTTTCCGGTCCTCACCGCACCGCGTTTCTCCGTCCTGGCGGCTCTCTTTGCTTCTCAAGGGGAGCCAGGCCGTGATTCCTGATACTGCTTTCGGCTTCCGACTCGTGTTGGCTTTCGTCATCTTCTCTTTGGAGAACCGCCTTGGCAGGTGACTACGTCGACGCCGCCACACGTGGAAAGGGTGCCCGTTCGGGCCCTTTTCCTGCGACCCTTCCGGTGTTCGGAGACCAGCGATCACCCAAGGGTCCTCGTTCGGGCCCCAGAGGAAGGGTACGTGACCTCTCGTATGTATGTTATGAGGGCGTTGCCAACTGCACCCAATAGGAGGGGTATTGGACTGTGATTGGGTGGAACAAGTTGCGGCCACGGGTTTTTAAACCCGAGGAGGACTGGGGAAGAGGAGTTTTTTTTTGTACGAGCTCCAGGGAGATATACGCTCCCGGAGCGGGTCTTGCCGAAAGACTCCTGCCGTGTCCGGCAAGGATGATTGTTCTGTAAAATTCTGCTCTTGTAATTTTTATATTCGCTCTTAATTAGTAAACGCATTTGTTCTTCTTGACGTCAAGTCTCCGTGATGCGTTATTCGACATCCTCGTCAACAGGCAAGACTTCAAAATTGACATCAAGCAGCTAGCATCAGCATCAAAGATCACCATCAAAGAAGAAAAGAACCTCACTACACTCTACATTCCTTTCGATCGTTATTTTGCTTAGAATCGTCGCTCGTTTTTACATACCTTCCTTGACAGAGGTTTGGACCTGAAATAGAGCGAAGTTTAACATCGTTTAGTGGTAAAAAAAAATGCTGTAACTAAAGCAATTGCACTCTCACAATACCAATAAAGGTACATACTATCCGGTACAACCAAAATGACAAAAGTTATTCATGTTAGTTTCCGGCGAAGAGAGAAAATTCACGCGCGTTTTCCCAAGGGAATACACAGGGAGGCTGGAAATGTGGACTGCATGCTGCCTGCTTCAATTTGCAACCGGAAGTCCCGTAGATACTACCGCCAGCTGAGTCTCTAGCGTTTATTATAATAACTCTATGGTGTAAACACGGCAGATTGATCAACCAATTCGTCCGGTCACTCAATACATTTCGTAATGAAGAATTGTAACTTTTAAGGTACATGTTTGATTACAAACTTTTTTATTGATGAAAGAACAAAAACAGATTGATATTCTATTAGTTAATGAAAATATTTATTGGCTTGTTTTTATTTTTTGACCTTGTGATTTTCTTGCAACATTGCATTTTCGTGTTCGTTTCTTTCTTGCGCAATATCATTTACTTGCAATAGTGCGTGACGTAAATGGTGAACGAAGTGGATGGTAAGAAGAAACCTGGACGTTCTGGTTTTCTCAGAAAACCACTGCTTTGTGCTTGTGTTCAGCTCGATATCAGTCTTCCTTGCTTTATAATGTGTGAATTGTAAACAAAATAAATGCACGTAGAACGTATTAAATCATAAGAAATAGATAAAAATATTTCTTGAAAACATTTTTTTTCTCGAAGGTTTGATGTTAATCATCATGTAAAACCGGTCTGATTGATGTCAAGAATTAAATCATGATCGCATTTAGATCATCTTAATTTTTATTGTCCACCCCAGCTGAAATCTCTTAGGCTGCGGAGCGATGAGAAGATGAAATTACAGTCAGTGCACGGGCGCGGTGGTAGAATTTAACAATGATATTAACCCGAGAGTACAACAGAAAAGGGAAAAGCTATTTTTCCTTTCGCTAAAAAAATGTTTTCTTCTGTTCCAGTCTCAGGTTAAAAATAATTATGCAGAATAATATGCAAGGTAATCGCCAGACCCTGCATATCCTCAGCAGTAAGTTACTTTAATGGGACCATAACATACTCTTCCACGACGCCACTGACCAAAAATGTTCTTGGTCGCGGTGTACCAACACCACCTATTGGGCAGGAGCTCGAACTATAGGGGGCGCAATGACCTGTTTGTTTCCCCACACCTCCTGTGTTTACTCAACACAAGGCCTATGCACATGCCCACAGGACTTATGGGCATGTCCATGTCATCTTCTACAATAAAGCTCGGGGCACAGTCTAATGTAAAAAATACTAACAATCGACGAAGTGACGTTAAGGGCCGAATCTACCCCGAAAGCAGTCGTCAGAGAATGCGAGCTTGACCCACTTCGGCTTTCGTTCTGAGCTGGGCACAGTGCATGCTGCATTGTTTATGCAGGCCGGAGTGGTAACAAAAGAGCCCTTTTTCCCCCTCACCGGAGAACACGAACTCCAGCCGAACACTGACGCCGCGTTCGGGTATGTCGGCCGAGCGCTGAGTCATTGTATTTGCTGCCCCCATCAGTGTAGTTCTAAAGTTAACCACTTGGGGTGTCACGGTCGCTCCTCCTCCCCAATAGATAAGCAGAAGACCGCCGCACCGTCATCCCAGTCAAATTGATCGAGGCCTGAGATTGGGCACGAGCGCTGCGTCAAGGTTCGGCCGGGGCTTGTGTTGAATTAACGCCTTGAAGGTCGGACCCGGGCCCAATAGCCGAGTTTGCGCGAACCCACTCTGTTCACGTTTCATGACGGGAGAGGACGCCATGCGGAGGCTTTGATTATTCAAGGTTCTGTTGAGTGTACATAGCATAGTTTGCTGAAGACAGGCGCTCAGGCTTACCACCCGTCTTTCCATCCTGCTCTCGTTCTGTAGCGGTGCGACTTCCGGAATAAACGATGACTTTTCGTTCAGTCTTTTTTTTTTTTTTTCCAAACTGACGACGCCTTTACGGGGGTTGGAATGCTGACGTATGGCAGGAATCGTCCGAGCTAACGATATTTGAATGCTGATCGTAGATTGGACGCGAGTACCGCATATGCACTCGGCTTGGGCCCGCGACGCTGAACGCCTCGACAAACGTTCGGGTGATGGCTTGTGCCTAATCGCTGCGATGACGCGACTAGCCGAACCCTAACCAAGTCTGGAAGTCAGCGCGTGATCTGAGCTTTGCCAAGCGCAGCGCGCGACGATACGATAAAATGGGTGGCGTACACACGCAAGGAGATGAGAAGCGTGCATACACACCAACACGCGGCTATGACGTCCCGCCTCTGCAGTGGCGCTGCTGTCTTCATGGCGCATGCGCATGTTCAAATAAAATATTAATAGGATTATTATTATTGCCCTACGCGAATCTTCATTCGGCGCACGCGTTTGTCCACGCCAGGTGAGGGCTATAATCGTCTTCAGATGCGTGGCCACTGAAAGCTGCTCTTTTTTTTTCTTTTTTTTTTTTTTTTTTGTCCTGCGACGTTTTGTGAAGGGCGAAAAAAAAAATAACACGTATTTCCTTAGGCTTAAACTCAGAAGCGATTTTCAGGCGGTACTTAGCGAAAGTAACAAATTCTTTACACAGCCCCTTTAATAACGCGTGCCGAAAACGTTTGAAACTCGGCGATTCTTACATCCAAGGTGCTATTCAGCGAAAAGCAAGACGCTTCAAAAATATAAACTTAATGCTGGCGCCATCTTCAAGTAATTTCATCACCCTGTGCGTGTCATACGCAAAAGCTTTTTTTTTTTCTTACAACGCGGTGGTTGCTTAATTCTCTTACTTTCCTTGAGATGGCGCCACCCTCCCAGTCTAACCGCGAGCCCATTCAATGTGAGCGACAAACGGGTGTCAAAAGAGTACAGTAGTCCTCTTCGTTGTAACGCTTGAAATATTGATGCCCTCATAGTTTACATGGACTTGGCATATAAGTGGGGCACTAAGCACGCACTTATCTGCCCTCTTCTTTTTTTTTTCTTTTTTTTCTTTCGAGTAATAACAATTTTGCGGATCCCTCGTCTTGAAACACAAATATCTGCGTTCAACCTCGTAAAACTGCTTCTATGAACTCGCAAGGAAAGTATGCCGCTGTACACTCTAAAAAAATAAGGAGCAAGTACTTTTTCTCAAAGCACTTGGGAGTGTCAATCACTGCTATCTGCTGAGCGAGTTTGGCGAATGGCAAGGTTAAAATCAGACTGTGAGAACTTTTGGGTTTTGGTCTCTCGTACGTCCGGGGAACAAAATGCACCAACGTACGTAGGATACTGGTGGCTTAATACGTGTTAAGTGAGACTTATTGAGGACACGTAAAAGAGCGTTCTTACGCGAACAAAATGTATTTGACAGTACATCGAACTTTCGCGCATAGCGGCCACTGTGCAGCAGACGAGTTCATGTCGCCGGAAAGTTTCATCTGTACATATCAGGCTTCCTTTAAATGCGAAGCGTATACAGATTGCACGTGAACGTGGAGGCGTGCAAACGCCAGGATTCAGGAGATTTACTGTCGATGATACGATGACGTTTCAGCTAAAAGCTAAACCAGTGTTGAAAAAAAAAAAAGAAAAACATGGCGATACAGTGTTTTGCACCGTGAGTTGACCAACCACGGCGCTCTAAATATCTGGCCACAATAAAAAAAAAACGATTTTTAATAACATAAATTGCGTAATCATTCTAATCGTAATGTGTTTTCATTCTCTAGACGTAAAGAAATAGGCCACTTGTTTGGACGATTTAGACATAAATGGAGATTTTATTCGGATCTGTTAATATTTATAAAGCGTGAAGTTTGGTCTGCTTTCAAACGAGGCGACTCCTTCGCTGTGGGGAAAAGTCGATCAGAGAGCGCAGGCCACGTGCTAACAACCCAAAGGTCTTCCAAGTGCACCGGGCAGTGATGACATACCGGTACGGATTCTCCTTCATTTCGAAACAAGCAGGGGCGGGGTTTGAACTAAGGAACCCTGGCTCCTGCAGCGAGAATCTTCACTCCCCATGCTTCAACCTCTTTTCTTCTTTTTTTTTTCTAATTTGTGTTAAGTTTTTTACAGGCTGACGATTGTACTGTATCAAATCAGAAAAGAAGAAAGAATGTGAGAAATAGTTTTGCTATCAAAAGTAACGATGTCATGGATGTCGTAGTTTTTTAATCAGCCAATAAGAGCTCGGCGTTCTGACATAATCGCAACGTTGTGCAGGAAGCAGACGGCACTTGCGCTCCGCATAGTTTTAGGACCGCACACTAATTGTTAGAACCGGAGCTCGGCGTTCCGAAGTCCCTCGCGCACGTTCTCTCGTCTCCTTCTCACCTTCTGCCAATAAAACAGAAGCGCTTCTCGGCGCTTCTTTTTTTATTTTCCTACGCGTAATTTTAAACATTTTGTTTGTTTGTTTTGTGCGCGCATCCGCTTTAGCCAAGGACCGCCGCTTCCACTTCATTCGGTGTCATGGGCGTGAACACGAAAACGTTACAAGAATCCGTCATTCTGTTGTTCGTACTGGGGTGCTTTCGCAAACCGTTTTTCCCTCTCTGCGGAAGCCAACAGACGAGACTTAGCAAGTAATCCGCTACAAGTAACAAATTACTTGTAATCCGTTACTTTTATGAGTAATTTTGTAATTCCCACGTTACTTTTCTGGGGCAGTAATTTGTAATGTAATTTCGTCACAATGATTGCTAACGGATTGCCTCGATTACTCGTTACTTTTCTTTTTATGTGAACATAATGCAGAAAGTGGAGCAGGCAATTCAGCAGCATAAATCATAACAAACTAAAAAAAAGAAAAAAAGAAGATCGGGAAGAGAAGAACAGCCGAAATTAAAACACGATGTTTGGTATGACTCGTCACTAGAACCACTTGAAAAACGTGCAAAATCCATTAAATATGCAAAAAAAAATTAAGGTCAAGAAGACAGCGCCGAGATAGGCTCTGCCTCTTTCCATCACCCATGGCCTCCAAGACCCCGAAGCGCGCGAACGTTCGCGCGCGCGCTTCGGGATCTCGGAAGCCACGCATCACCTTCCATCGTGTATTTCTTTTTCTCCTAAGTATCAGAATTGGAAAGCAGTATTGCAGAATATTTTTGAAAAGATTTCAATATTGTTTCTATTGTCTTCCTTGATGAGTGTCCAGAACAAGTCAAGTGAGAGTAATTTGTAACATAACGAGTAAAGTGATCCGTTAATTTTCAGCGAAATTAATTTGTAACGGTAATCCATTACATTTGAGGCTCGGTAATTTGTAATTGTAATTTTTCAAGTAACGGGCACAAGTCCGCAACAGACCCCTGAAAAAGTGGCTTCCGATCCGTACTCGAGAACCGAACTAATGGCGATTGCAACAACGCCATTTCTCCCGCAGCGGCCACTCAGGGAACTGGACGCCTGCACGTGGTTCGGGTCGAGTCGCGCAGGGGCCGCTCGCACCAGCTAGCAGTCCCATTTCGTAGCAGCAGTACAAATTAACTTTTATGTTTCGACTATTCTCTAAAGGATGGCGCTGTCATCGTATTTAGTTTGGTCTCGGGTGACGCGAGCGGTACGGGTTTCAAGGGTAAGTTTCCCAACTGAGTGTTTTAGTAACATTGCCTTCTGTTCTGCGTCCGCCAATAGACTCCTTTCGAAATACCGCCCTCTGTTGGCAGCTGTGAAATCCTTGCACAATGGCAGCCTAAAACCGCAATGCCAGGGCACACCTTATGCGTTTTGTTCGAGTGGAATAAAAAAAAGGCGACGAGCGCAGTGACATTGCACTTTCGACGCTGTTTGATTGGCTCGCCGGCTCCTAGCGTTGGCCGCCCTCCGACGTTCTACTCTACTCTTATGAAATGACTTGCACGTTCGACAATGTCAGTTGTCCCGCCCTTGCGCAGTGGTCCCAACCTTCTAATAATCGTCACCCGAATTGCGAAAGGGCACATCCCGCGGCACTCCCGCGCCGCTAGCCTTCGCTATAGAGCTGCGGATCTCCTAGTGGGTTCTGGGGATCGATGCGGCTGGCGAAAACGGTCGTTGAAAACCACCGAATAAAAAAGAAAGGGTTCCCGCGACCGTTCTAATATTATGGTGATTAACTTTGTACGTCACCTTAAGAAAGCTGTGCGTTGCCGATAATAACCAGCACTTTTCGAGCGTTCTAGTACCTGTAATCACCCGAGACTGATTCAGCGTGCAATGAACAAGGGCACGTTTTTCCAGCTTATCTTATCGCACGCGTCACCGCCGAGTGCAAGATAAAATAACGCTCCGGAGAACTGCGCAGCCGTCTCGACGTGCCAAACCTGCCTGGGCTGTCTCTCGGAAAAGGGAGACGTCGTGAAAAAGACAACGTTCGGTTGAATTTCGCAAAGTGAAAACTCTAAAGGTAAGTTCGACATCAGTTTCGATAAACATTTCAGGAATAACCATCCGCCTTGTTCTACACCACTTTTCATCAGCTTTGTATACTTTTGGAGTGGTTTTAAGTAGATTCCGTTAATTGAATTGCTGATCATTTGATAAATATATTACACGGTGTTTAAAAACTTCAGAAAGAGCATTTGGACGTCGAGGATTAGCACGCTTTGCACATATTTGTTATAGTTGTTCACAAGATATTAACCCTAAGCGAAATGTGTACCTAAGGGAAAGGTTTTCGCTGATTTAATGAATCGGCAGTCGTGTTGTCTTTCAATCTAAACTCACAAAGTCTCGGGGCATGACATCTCACTGGTGCATAAATAATTCAAATTAATTCCGGCACATATTCAATCGCAGGCCTTCAATTATTATAATCATCAAAATGATATTTCAAATACCGCGCGATATACAACCTTTCTTGCATTTAGCTTGTAAATAAGAGGGGTGTATTGATATAAAGGTTCATGGTCAGAAAGCTATTTCAGTTATGTGGCTACTGTTAGCCTGAAATGTCATCGTAGAACTTACTGTTGAAAACAAATGTCGTTGCGTTTCTGCCTCCCTAACTTACGTCACACCGTTGCAACAACGTGTCGCGTTGCTTTTATCAGCACACCCGTAAGAGCAGTTCTGATACAATAAGATGATGAATCTATTTTCGTATTTAGTCTGACATATTTTTTTATGTCTGCTATTTAGGAGAATAAACTAGAAGCTATTGTTGCCAACTGTTGAGATGGATAGATTAAATTAAATGGACTAAGGGTGATTTTATGGGAATTCAGATAGCCAAACATAAGATAATCCCTAGTGATGTCCTCGGCTTCAATGTATTCAGAGTACTCACGAGAAGCCAGCGTTAAAACGAAAAATAACTCTTTCAAAAACCTGAAGTACAAAAAAAATTAACCACTAAATTTGTTTGTTTATTCCTTTTTGGGCAACAGCATTGTGAAGTTACAACGACCACCATTAAACAGTTCTCAAGATTTATTTTTATTCTAATATTTAATTTACCTAATTTAAGTAGCCTTTAGAGGTCACGAGTTCTCCGCAAGACGCAGTGTCTTGTGTGGTTCCTATAACAAACACGTAGAGGAGAGCTAATGTTTCCCTGATGGCGATAGTCATCCAACCTGCTGAAGTTCAGATAAGCAAGATGTCGGGCAGCCGCCTGTACAAAGAGATAAATTTTGTCGAATGAAATGTTTGGGAACTATTTGACTACGTTCGCCAGTACGGCTATGATATGAAAGGTAATTGCAGCGCTTTAATGTGTTACAAAGGCTTGTGACTGCTTACAACAAGAGAGCACATTAGCGTCTTCTATCAGGCAGCATTAGAACACTTTTGAACCCTGTATAATTCCTCATTTTATTGCGCATCAATTTTTACCGTGGGCTCTAAATAACGTTGATAACGTAATAACTAATGAACGACCATAGCTAATAGACGATGCGTAGATCTGATCTCACCAATGCTGTATAAAGAGTGTTTCCAGGGCCAGGATGTTCTCTAGTGTTAAGCGGTCACAATTCGTCGTAACGGTCGTAACGCAATTTCTTAAGGCTCGTTAACACAATTCCATCAACTGTGTTCCGTCGTGCAGCACAGCGTTTCCACATTGGCTCGTCGTAAGGATCGCCATAGCAACAGCGTGACGCGAGCAGTCTTAACGCAGTCAAGCGCAAGTGCGTGAACGAGCATTTACACTCCAACGCAAATGAGTGAACCATTCTTTAGAGCATAGTTACAGCAACCAGCTTTGCAAGCAATGAGCACCGCTCAAAGGCAGACCAGATACACCTTGGTAGAAGCATCTTATAAGTTTGAGCGTAGCCACCTGACCACAAAAATGTATGCAAACAGGTGGTGGTAGGAAAGCTATTACCCGTGTTGCCAGAAAGCAGGCTTTGTGTTGACGACGCACAACAATTTATCTTTTTGTATTATCATGCTCCCTGGAATGTGTCTCCAGCAGGTGTGTTTAGCTCTTTTTAAGACGTCCATCAATTGCCATTCGATGATTCCATAGAAATGTCAGGCTGTTGCCTGCCGCGGTTTTGGCGGTCGTACAGCAGCGGAAGTGGAAAGCGATAGACGTCTGTTTTGTTGCAAATCGCTCACCGGCTTGAGAGTCCACTGAAGTTTTAGCAGCTAAAGGTTGGAAAGCCGCAATGACAATGACACTTGCTTTCGTTCATACTTTCTTCCGCAACTTCTACGACCAACCGCCAAGATCGCGACATCTGACGCGACACGAACGACTCCCATTACACACTTGGGGACCACTTTCGATCCAGTATAGGGTATATAGGACGCTGAACACGCCAGTCCAAGGTGCGTTCCTGGAACCTTAATACTATCGCAGATTCTTGACAAAGCATGAAGATGTGAGAACGCGTCCAGCAGTTTACTCGTGACCGCACTGAAAACAAAAGTGTCCCATGACACACACACACACACACAAAAAAAAGGCACGGAGCTGCGAAAGCAAACAAGAAGAATATTTATCACCGGTGTAAACAGAAACCACTCATTTCAAGCACGCCGTCGGGTGATGGTGACGTCGACATGAGCGGACCGCACCTTTCTTCCTGGGTTGTCCTGGTGCTCGCCCTACTCGGTGCAGCCAGTGCACAGATCCTCTTCTACTGCACCGAGGGGGCGTGCAAGGCCGGCTGTAAGCCCGTCGATTGCGACGGCGGACGCCTCATTCAAAATGCCACGACGTGCGGCTGCTGCCCCATCTGCGTCAAGCCCCTAGGCAAGTGTATTAGCGTCGACGTCTAAGCTTCCAAGATTCTATGGTCCAATGAGAACTAGAGAAACGCGCAAAGTGTTGCTTATTGTGTTCACGCCTCTCGCTCCCTGATTGGTTGTTGGCCGTTCTTATCAGCTAATGTCGCTATCTGATAGGTTAACGAACGATAATGAGATGATCGAGACCGTTCGAGCTCCCCCCCCCCCCCCCCCCCCCTCCCCGCCCTTTTTCTGGACTCAATGAAATCTGGAAAATCTAATTTCCTATAAAGCACTTCTGAAAACCAATCGCTGCGGTCATGGAGGGGTAAACGAGTGATGGAGGTTGGAAATTTGTTTAGACCTAAACAGAAGCAAGTCTGTGATATGGCACTGAGGGTGGTGAATCTTTATGCTCAATGTCGCAACGCACACTGCTTCTTTTCTTCAGACGAGACATCTACAGATATCCCCTTCACCGAGCTTTTTTCCATAGACTGCAGCGATTGGTTCTTTCGAGTATTTTGAGCGATCGCGGACGCACCGGATTTCTTCATGTGCAAAAATGCCGCGTACTTTTTTGTGGTTGTTGTTGTTGCTGCAGATTTTTATGATTTGGTTAAGCAAAAGACAGGAACAATAAAGCATTTTTTATATATACATAGAATGTAGATACGTACTCTAGCTACTTATCCACGTGATCACAGTACAGATTTCGGCAGTCAGTATGACGTGGTGCAAGCTTTTGGATTGCCTCTCCAAACAAGGTCGCCGCCTCGGTCAACCCTCCGTTCCCAGATGTTCCGTCCTGCGTTAGCAAGACCGTCACTCGCCATAGAAGTGTAATGTGCGTGAAGGAAACGGCAAAAAGTTTCATAAAGGATGAACATAAGTTCTTGAGAATGTGGGTTAGAAAAGGACGGTCGAGGCGACTTCGGGGTCTTGTCGAACTCGTGATGGAATGACCGTAGGCCTAGGAGGCAAACCACTTTAGAGAGGGCACCCAAGCTCTCGTACTACGTCACAATGACTGTCTATATCTGCGCGGTGATTATCTGAAAAAGTGGTTAGAGTTTGCACATACAGTGCGCTTCAAACTTAACGCCGCCGCAGCATTTGCCGTTTCTGACAGTCCCTGCGGCGGCCGATTCAACTATCTGAAGAATGTTTGAGTTCCAGAATTCTATTCCATTCTATGAAGGCATCCCAAACGTTTTGGTGACAAACTTAACAGTAAGTAGCCGACACAAGCTTGATGTTTGGGAACCCAGTGGACTCGTTAAGTTTGGGTGCATGCACTCTACATTCTTTGTGTATACTAAAAAATATTTCATCACTCGTTTTTGTTTACTCCGTTTATCGGAAGGATTGAAATTTCGAGCGGCAACCTTCTTTGTGGACGGCAAACTAAATCTAGTGCCAAGTCATAATAACTGCCTTAATCTGTGCGGTGATTTTTACGGAAAAGTAGTTATGCGGAAAGCAAGTCGTCTGCTTCTTGCGCAGAATGTTGCGGTGACGTCACAAAGACGCCGAGCTCTGATTGGCTTTAATTAAAAGTATAGTGGGTAGACCTCAATGATAAATGCTTTGAGATTTACCCACGAATTTGTTTTCAGTCAGCTAATCATAGCTTGGCATTCTGACACCATCGAAACCTCTGTGCAGGAAGCAGACGAACTTGCGCTCCACTCAGAGTTTGCATTTGCATTTTGTGTATGACAAAAATAAATTTCGCACTCTTGTTTTCTTGACCCAGTTCATGAGAAGTTTTGAAAAAAAAAAGCAGCCTTCTTAACTCATGTTCCCGCATTGCCACAAAAAGAATGTGTCACGCTTTCACGTTACAGGAGAAGGTGCTCGCTGTGAAAATACGGAGACGGCGTCCCTTCCGAGCCAGGAATGCGGTCCGTCCCTCACTTGCGTCGACAAAGTCTGCGTCCCAAGTGCGTCTTTTTCAGTTTAAGCGTTGCATGATGCAATCCTACCCAGAATACAAGGCCCGCACCTATCCTCCCTGAACGTCATCATTAGAGGAGCCTCGCAGCGCAGTCTATGCGGAGCGCAAGTTCGTATGCTACTTGCACAGGGGTTGCGATGATGTCAGAACTCCAAACTCTTATTGGCTGATTGAAAAAAAGTAGTGGGTAGACCTCGAAATGTCTATCATTGAGGTCTGCCCACTATCCTTTCAATCAAAGCCAATCAGAGCTCGACGTCCCTCTGACGTCACTGCCACTCCTGCGCTAGTAGAAACAGACGGGTACACAAACGAACCGCATGGGCCCGGACTGCAGTCACATAGCCATAATTGGGCTATGTGACTGCAGTCACATAGACCAATTATGTTTACGGCAAAGAAATCAGGGAACGGCCAAATCAACGTCAGCGGTGCCTGGGAGCGCGGTAGACCCTTTGCAAAATGTCCGCACCATCGCCAATCCGCCATTGCTTGATCACGTGCTCCGAGCATGTATGGGACACGAAGGCTGCCTCAGTGTTCGGCGTGAACCCGGCTAAGCTCCTGCTGGAAACGAGTGCTGCGTCAGCGGTCGGCGAGGAATCGGATCTAATCACACGCTTCGTGGCCGCGCAATGGCGACCGCCAATGTTGTTCGATAAACTTTTGACGGCGGTCTATTTGGATATCTTGAACAACTGGTATAGTTTTGTGTTGGTCGACTTTTTTATTTCTTCTGTGGGAAGTATCGCTCGACCTTGAATGATCCTTGTACAAATAATTTGTATCCTACTGTAGTTATTGCCCAGAGTTTTGAATTTAGTGGTTTTTGTCAATTTCTACGAATTCTCACTCGGATTCTTTTTATTTTTGAGCTGAGAACGCTGTTTAGCAATATTTAGGGTTACTTCGACAAAGAGGAAGTTAAAAAGTAGATCGAGGAAAAGTTGCAATAAAGTACTTTAATACAAACAAACAAACAAAATTCGTGAATTAGACGATTTAACAAAAAGCGGTGTTTACAAAAAAGTATAAAAGAATACTTGTAATCTTTTTTTAAGCAAAGTAGCGCAAGCCACTGTCCGATTCAGAGGCTATACCGGGTGTGCAGAGGTAGACAAAACCACAAAATGGCTGAACGTCCGGGTGGAGTGTGTTACTTCCGGTTGGCTATTGTTTTTGCTTGTTTTTGAGGAACCTCAGTGAGTATCGCATACTTTAAAAGTTTCACCGCCGAGGGCTGTCAGCGGTACCTCCCGAAATTTACTTATTACGCGATCGACATGCCTTCTTGATCCCGTGGGTGAAAAGAAAGAGCACTTGTTCCTTAAAGAAATTACAAATTTGCCGTAAGTATCGGGGACGCATCTGCAGGACTATTTATTCGACTTGCCTGGTCCATATACCAAGGAACGACTTATAAACTACAAGGCCGTAAACGCTTTCAACTTCTTCGTGAACGGCAAGGCATCGGCGCTGGACACTATAACTCCCACAGTCGTCACAAGATACGCGCCGAGCTTCCCCGCAGAGGTGGCCGAGCCGTGTCTTCGTTTTAGCAGTCAATCTTCCGAAAGCTTTTATTACGCTTCCTTTAGCGGGACACGAGTCTCTGTAATGCACAATTTTCGAATGTGTTGATTTGCTTGCTTTGGCATATTACGCGTCTCTTTCCCAGAACACTGTGCACATTGTATTTGTACGTGCCGTAATGGCCCATCGTTGTACCGGTTGTACTTACACAGTCGATTGAGGAGCAGCGCCACCGGTGTAGTACGCCAAACCTACTTTCACTACGGTAGCGGTTATTACATACGCCGAAATAACCACGGTATAGTTGTTTTGGAGTACGCAATATCCACATCTGTAGTCTTTTACGCGTATCCCAAATGCACTGCCCTCACGCCGAATTCCAAACCTCTGAACTTTTTCGGTGGGCTTCCAATTTCGCGCACACTAGCGAACAAACTTTCCTCAGTCGACCACCATGATCAAAATGGGTGCCTACACGGCGGCCTTATGGTGGGCTAGAAAGGGGGAGGTGTGATGATCGCGCTTGTGAAAGTGACTCATCCATCTAGCATGCTGAGCTGTGGTGCGTTATAGCGGGGCGGTGAGCCATGGATAAGTGGATCGCAGCGCCACACTGCATTAAAGGGAACAGGAGGTTAAAAAAGAAGTACAGCGAGTTTCCGAAAAACGAGAACCGGTTATTTTTTCGGCCCGGGTAGATAAACTATGCATCGCAGAAAGTTCAAACTCTCTGAGAATGTGACACATGGCGGTTGGGATAGAACGTGAAAGTTTAAGAACATGAGGTTACTTTCTTCAAAAAATAATTGATAAAAACGAAACACATAAGCCTAATATCGTTAAAACAAAACAAAAAAATACACTGTGGGAGCTGTCTATTTCAGTGGAAAAAAACTTAGCAGCAAGAAAGGGGATATTATTTTCCTTCTTGCTGAGAAGTTTATCTCATCGAAATAGATACTACATGCGCCCACAGTGTCATTCTTGTTTTGACGAACGAAATTAAGCTTAGCTGGGGGTCGGCTCGTAAAAAAATTTCGTTTTTCTCAATTATCTCTTGATCCAGATGACGTCCTGTTCTCAATCTTTCGCGTTCTATCGCAGCTGCTAACGTCACATTCTCACAAAGTTTGAGCTTTCTGCGATGCTTACTTTATTCACCCGAGCCGAAAAACCCAGTTCTGGTTTCTTGGGAACTCCCCGTACATCAAGAGGCTTCATAAGTCAACCATAGCTTCACTGTATGCTGTCTTCATTGCGTCGAGCTCAATGTGCTGTGCCAAATTTCGTTATACGGCTAACAAGCAGCGACAACAACACTGTTGCGTCACAGGCTGCAAGACTGGGTGTGTGTCTTGAAGGTCAGAAAGCAAAAATGCGACGTTTTTTTTTTTTTTTTTTTTTTCTGGCTTTTCCAAAAAAAAAAAAAAAAAAACTTGAAACATTTTGAGCATGGGAACGGACTATTCCTGGGTCGGACCGATGCCTTGAAACAAGGTCCGCAGTATGCGTGCTGCCTTGCGAAAAAAGATTCATTACGCGGCACTTCACGATTGCGATCAACAGTAAAGAAATTTTCCTCTATAGCATTCACAGTGCGACGGAGTGCCGTTGTGGCACTGCAGAGGGCAAATCGATGCTAACGCCGCGTGCTGAACAGCCTTGCCATTCTCTCCCGCCGGACGAAGCGAGCGATTCGCACACCTCTTCCTTGAGCCCACCATAGCGGCATGCGAATGCAGGTTGGTTTCTTCAGCTGTGTAGCAATTACAGTCGGCAGTTTGGTGGTTCAAACAGTTGAAAGGATAGAGACAGCCAATGACATCCTTGCGATCGAGCGGCCCTGGTTTGGGCGACAGGTTTACGTATCGTTTTATGAAAACACGTTTGACAGGCACCCGCGTCGTCAACACTTTACGTTTCGTGGAAACTTGCTTTGTGAACTGCACGCTCCCGCAACGTGTAGGGGGCTTCACTTCGCTTGTTGTTGTAGTCGTGCCTGTGGCTGGGGGTTCTCGCACCCTTGGGTTTCATCTTTGAGGCGCCCGTGAGTCGCGGCGCTCGTCCTGGGGCCAGAACCGCGAATGGTCTAACTTTGGTTTAAAAGAGGCCGCGATCTGCGCGGTCATCCCTCACTTCGTCACGAGCGGGAAGTTTCATTTCATCTCATAATTACACAAGGAGCAGACTAGGCGATGGTCAGTACGTTACTTGTCTCAGTTGACGATCGCTCTTTACGGAGTAATGGGTAAGGATTTCGGCGTGACGGTGGTGAAAGTAGGGTACCTGGAAAAAACTGCCGTAGTTGCTTTCGCATACGCCGAAACTACTACGGTACTTAGGCGTACGCAATGATGGCTACCGTAATGTTTCTGGCGGAGTAGTTAAATGAGCGTCCCACACCGGCGCCGCATTCTCGCTTTTGTCACGTTGCGCCATCTGTCGCCAGCACATCCAGGTAGGCTCGCGCCGTCTGCTAATGACGTCGCCCGGCGATCACCCAAGCTTGTCAACGTCGGTGGCGTTCCTCGTCTCAAGATAATGGAAGTAACTTCACTTGTTACATTTTGTTCGTGCCGGTACGCATTGGAAACTTAAAAGCACTGTAAAGGGGCATTTCTAGAGCATAGCTCTCATGCAATTCCTCGCTAGGGAAATAAGACTTGTCGCACACCCACCCAAACACAAGGTACTGTCGCGGCCGACGTGAGTCCCCAGGATGGACCAGGCTCGGGTGGGGTCCAGATCCGGACGGAGCTCCGGGCAGGAATCTCAGCAGGCGACGATGGTTAAAACTCTCCTTTATTTACATGTCAGGGGAGCAATGAGCTCTGGCTATACAGCAGCTAGCCGCAGCTATGAGCCTTGATCTTGGTGAGCTCTGCGAGTTAGGTGAGCTCAGTTCTTTTAAAGTATTTCGGTTGCCATGCGGTCGGGCGGAAACCAATCGCGGAGGTGCACCAGTTTTGTCACCCACGCCTTCTCGGAAAGACCCTCTGTCCAAGTTACGTCACACGTCCGCGCACACCATACCGAAGAGGTCGTCTCACTCGATGGCGCCATGCATCAACGCACCAGCCTCTTTTGAAGGCGTCGTCCTTGCAGGTGTCTTGGGGCAGGCAGGGCGAGAGCTTGACGTAATGTTCGGGTCCGAGGTCTGCTGGGTTGACCTTGCCCGGGTATTTCACTTGGGTTTCAAGAAGAGCAGACATTCGGCCGGCTCAACGCCTCGAAGACACGTTATTTCGGCGGTGAATTACGTGACGACGGGCCTCGCCCGTGAGCGAAACATGAGACGACAAACCAAGGCCGCTGACGTCCATCGGCGGGCCGATGTGCCGATTACAACAGCCATCCGCGCTGCCGTTGCCGATTGCAACAGTACACAAAGGAGAACCGGAAGTATTTCTCTCCCCTGTCATGGCGGCCGGATGTGGCGCAACCACCCTGCATAGACATTACCATCCATCCGTTCATTTATCCAGCGGCCTCACTGGCTGTGTTCCAAATCTTACTCAAATGGATCCGATTTACTCCGGCGGGTCGTGTCACGTGGCACAGATTGAAAAACGCTGGACAAGGGTAAGTTTTGAAACGCGAAGGTAGAAAACCCTTACCCTAGAGTAAGATCGAGTAAATTTTGGAACACGGCCACTGACACTCGGTGTGTGCACATTTCAGATACAGACAAGCCCTGCGTAAAGAAGGTACAGGAGAGGCTCAAGGACGGCGCCACTTCCGAAATGGTATACGGGAGCCCCGCACCGGACTGCGACATCTACGGCGACTTCAAACCGAAGCGGTGCAAAAAAGGACTCATGTGAGTGCCATATGCATCGTGGCCACAATGTTCTTACTACGCTGTAAAAGCAGGCCGAAACACAAACGGCGCTTGCACATATAAAACTGAAACTTTCACCGAATGCCCATTTAGGTGGTGGATTTTACCTTCTGGAATTGTAAGACCTAAGTCAATTCAATTCAACGTTTATTTGATGAGTTGAGCAGTTTGGTTCCGTATCCTGGGACCGGCCACATCAAATCAAGTATTGTACAGTATGAGTGATGTATAACATCCAATTATAAAATCAGAACACCATGAATAATACTCTTAGTTACCGTACACGCACAAAAAATTTACACGGATGAGAGAAGCGATTACGCAGTAAATACATTTGTAGATATGTACAATAGATTACAGTAGCATAGTAATAAAATTACCATAAACAAACGCAGTTATCTTTTAAGGGCGCGTCTTGCGTATTTTGACCTTCGAATAATACCTAATATCTGTCAACTATATTTGTGTCAGTAAAAATTCACGTAGAAAAGTTGATGCCCTCTTCTGGCTTTTTAAGTCCGGCCAGGGACCTAAACATTTTGGCCAAAGAAAAAGAGCGATTGTCGAGTATGCTTAGTCCCACTCGTAATCGACTTCGCCACTGGTCGTATCTTGGACATTCCAGGTAAATGGTATAAATATCGATTTCGTGGCAGATAGCTCCATTCCTCGTTCTGTTAAAAAATTGTTTGTCGTGTCAAAGGCTATGGGTAGCTGGTTCTTTAAAATATCTGGGGACAAGCCAGAGATCCAGATACAAATATCGTCAGCATAAATAGATATTTGTAAAGGTGGCTGGAGTTTCGGAGGTAACTGTGCTATTACGACGTTGAAAAGAGTAGGGCTCAGCACGCTACCTTGGGGTACTCCATGGTGTAGTTCATGATGCTTGCTGTCTCCATCATTTGTACACACCACGATGTTCTTGCATCGAAGAAACTTTTATATCTAGCGAAACATGCGTCCATGTACACCATGAAGCACAAGTCCTTTAAGAACATGAGCGTGACTCACCGTATCAAATGCTCGGCGAATATCTAGGAACACCCCTACTGTAATGTTTCCGCTATCTCGTTCATACTCTACACAGGTGGTGGGGTCTAAGTTCCATCCATTGTGCATCTACGTGGACGAAATCCTGTAATTTCTTCGGGAAACGCTTTACAATAGTTTCCAACCACCACTGTAAGCGGTTATGTAAGATCCTCTCGAGCAGCTTTCCGACGCTACTGGTTAAACTTACAGCGCGGAAGGAATCCAGGCTCAGTGGTGATTTCCCAGGTTTTAAAAGACGTAGGTCCGTCACTGCAAGAAATCAAACCGACGGACTCGCCACAGTCAACGGCGGACGTGCTTCGCAGACGACCGAGTTAGCGATGATTGTAACCTGTGGCGCCATCTCCCGATAGGCGAAGCGAGCAGACGACGCACTCTGTTTTCTGCTGGTTAGTGACATTCCTGCATAAGCTGGTAAGTTAACGCCTAGGAACTTATCACAAAGCAAGAAACGTGATCATAATAGGCTACGACCTGTGTTTCTTAAGCTGACACTGACTATGATCTGAGAAAATCTTAAGCGACTCCTCTCCCGCCAGGCACTTGGAAGAGCCAATTGCTCCCATATACGCCGAGATCTCGGCGAATGATGAGCAGTCTTGTACACATTACTCAAAGAAAGTAATCGTTTACAATTAATCTCGATTAAAAGCATTCAATTAGATTGCCTAATTACTATAGACGAGAAGTAATTGGCCGTTACTTGAAAAAGTAACCGTTACTGCTCCGATTACGTTGCTCCAAAAAGTAATCGATTGAAATTACTCTTGGTACAAATATTAACTTAGATTACTTTAGTACTTTACAAGAAATGTCATTGGCAGTTACTTGAAAAAGTTACTATTACTGCTGTGACTACGTCACTAAAAAAGTAATCGATTACAATTACTCTTGGTTACCTAATTAATTAGTAATTATTTACTAATTAGATTAATTAGTAATTAATCTAATTAGGTACCTAAGTACCTAATTAGATTACTCCATTCCTTGAGAAAAAAGTAACTGGCCCTTACTTGAAAAAGTAACCGTAACTGCTCCGATCATCTTCAGGTTTTCAAAGCGACAGAATGTACTCGGGTTTTGAAAAAAAAGTCTATCGTACTGTACAATATGTTGGATTAAAATCATCGAATTATAACCTACTTATTATTCTAATTTTACACACTTTGGTAAACCCTGCTCGTTTCGGAGACTTCGAGGATTTCTTAGAAGAGACATGTAGAAACAAAGGGCTTTAGTGAAAGGGGGGGAGGGGGGGGAGGGATAGTAACGGTTAGAGGTAACTTTAGTACTGCCGAAAGTAAATAAACTACTGTCGTAATTACTTTTCTATAGATGTATTCAAATAATTACGAATGAACTCCATAAAGTAATCGATTGCAGTACTTTGATTACCTGTGATGAGTACCGTACAAGTCTGATGAGGCTAGCACTACGTCTATACCTAAAAGAGACACTTAAAACTGCTTACATGTAGGAATGCGAAAGCATTCCTACGCGCAGCGTATTCTTGCAAGCAGCGCGTCACGTCTTCCATTTTTACGCGGCGCTCCGGCGGTGACATCACGCTACCCCACTTCACAGGCACGGCGAAACCCGCCGGATCCACGACTGCTTCCGTGACGAAGCATCTGTGTTACTGTGGTTTTCTTTGTGTTTTATTTCTGAGGCGCATCCGCTTTGGACCTCGAGCGCCCCCGCCGCCTCCCGTGACAAAGCATTTGCGTTGCTGTCGTTTCGCTCATCCAAAAGGAGTTTAGGAGCCGTTCTTCGCTGCTACAGACAACGTGTACAGACAACACCGGCTTCGCTCCAAGGACAGTTAATGCTTTCACATTAATAGTCGTCTGCGCTGTTACAATAAGCAAGGTGAAACGTGCCACAGCGCATTGTTTTTTTCTGCGTCTCTCTCCATATACATTTTTTTCAGCCTCGTCGTTCGGCGAGCTCTTAGAGTGTGTAGCTAATTTTGGGGGATATTATTTCTTATACAATGTCCAACACTCTTAGGAGTGCCACCACGCATACTGCCCTCCAGTACTCTTGGAGCGACAATCGTCGATTTTATTTAATGAGTACAGCTCGCCATTTTTTAAAAGGGGTAGTGCAACGATTCTAATCTTGAACGAAATTGCAGTTTGTATTTTTTGTAGATCGTCTATCTAGCCACATGTGACAAAAAATGCGAAACCTTGCCCCCAAAATTGCTATTGCGCTGAGTAATCGCAAAGGGAAAAAAAAAGAATTGTTTGTCGATCTGCAGCCGCGTGGGGCGATTACGGGAACTGCGGTGGCAAGTCTCTGGAGGACTCGCGGAAGTCAACGAAACTTGTCCCCCTCCTCTGCTACACTCGCCTTGAGCCACGTGGCGAGAACCGCCTTTTGTGTCGATCGCTCGCCGTGACCTTCGGCGATGCTAGCCCTTGAAATGTCCACAATTTCGGAGGAAACGGCTGGGGTCTCTGAAGGGAGAACCAAACGGCCAACCAGGTGGTCCACCAGAGACGTCACTCGAAAGAGGGCGTGAGAGTTCAGAAGCACTTTGACATTCCATGCGTTTATATATTTATATACAGCGTGTTTCAAAGAACTCAAGCCAAATCGCTCCTGCCAAAAATAATCATCGCAACAAAAAAAGGCTTGTGTCGTTTTGGTTCCGGGCCAGGGGCCCATTTAGAAAAACTATTAAAGTCCGCGATAATTCAGTTGTTAATTATTTTCGCGTAATTAATTTTTTTAATATTGTGTTTAAGGCCATGGTTTCAGTTAGAAAATTGCTCAGCATCGTAGAAAAACAGTAAATCAACAAATTGCAGAACGATAGAAGGCACGCGCATCATTTTACGGCTTTCTGAAAAACCGCACAAATTCGCCGGGTTTTTAAGTTTCGGTTTACTACCGGATCGCATATCGGCCCGGGCGGCACCGCGCCCCGCATCGCATCGCCACCATGCACCCAGGATGCCTGATCTGTAAACAGATGCAGCACACAAACACGGCCAGCAGCCCGCACTCGCAGATCTCGATCAAAATTAAAGGGCACTTAACATGTGCCTCGACGAATGTTGTGTACTCTTTAGAGTGTACGGTATGCAAAATGCAATACATAGGGCAGACTAGAACGGCATTTAGACTGCGCTTTAATAATCACAAATCTCAAGCCATAAATCTTCCGACACTGCCTCAATCCAAACATCTCGCTCTCCCAAAACACTCGTTTGATAAATTGTCGGCGACGATCCTAGAATCCGGTTTTAAATCAAATCGCGCACGTGAACAGCGTGAATCCTATCTAATTTACCGTTTCAACGCTATTAAACAAGTAATAAGTGAAAGCCCGGTACTCTGGCATCGATTGAAATGATAACAGACGAATAGCAACAGCGAACAGGGGACATCTTTTCAGGTCCCAGACCTTATTGTTAGCAGTGGTGCTGTGTTTGTGGCCGGAACTGGACCATCAGTTTTCTCTTTTATTTCCAGGTTTTAATATTCATTTTCTTACTTTATTTTTTCTAGGTTTAACGTTGTTCCCTTCCAGGTCTAACTCATGCATGCCCCACAAAAGAACACAAACGACCGTGCCGTCTTTTTTTCTTTTTTCTTGAGACAGCATTTTAGTTTGCGCGTGTATCTTTCGTCTATTGTACGCTATCGTCCAGGTCACCCCTGGCCGCCCGGACACAAAGTCACCTTGCGCCTCCTCCCAAGAAGCTACAACTGTCATCCCAGCGTCCTTGGAACTTGGCTCCGACCTTCAACCTTTTTCACCCGGATACTTACTGCCTTACGCTTCCCTCTCACGAAAGCTCCAATCGTCACCCCGCCGAAATTTGGACCCGACCGTAGCATTGTATAAATACCACCCGCGTTCATCTGTAAAAGTTAGGGGAGGAAGGGGCCGAGTGGGCTAACGCGACTCA